TATCGATTTCACAATCGATCTCAAGATCCATAGTATCAATTTTCACATCATCCACTGATTGGGTTTTCTCAGGTGTAAGAAATACATATATATATATATATATATATATATATATATATGTATATATATATGTGTGTACATACATACACACATCAATCGATATGTACAAACTCCTACATCGTCATATGGCCAGGGGCCCCAGACAGAGCGCACTCGGACCCCAGTCCCCCCCTCACGAATTTCGACCGCCTTCCCTGGCCTTCTGGACGCCTCGCGCATGCGTTCCACCTGCCTCGTTGGCTTCCCAGACCTCCCTGCTGGCCCTCGGAAGCGGGCCCAGAGCAATGAGGGCGGCCCAACGGCCCGCGAGAGCCCCGAGCGGCCCCAAACATCCACCGGACGCCCGAAGACAGCGCAGATAACACCCCCTGCAGGCCCTCCAAGCGCAAAAAATCATGAACTTGTCCTAGGGCAGACGTCTGATTTCTGGAAACTCAGATCTTCGGCCTTCTGGGCGTCCGAGATCGCCCAAGAGGCCCCTGACATCGTCCCCAAGCCAATCACAAGAGCATGCAAACGGTCGAAGAAAGCCCCTTGACGGCCCAGCAGGGCCCTTAGCCGCTCCCAGAACCACTCTGCACTCGTGACCCCGACGTTGAAGGGAGACCGTGGTTTGCAGCAAGGTGAGGTGGCGCGATGAAGCGACCAAACGGCGCCCAGAGGCCTCCAGAAGCCCGCAAGAATCCCCTGAGAAAAGCGTCGCGAGGCAACCAAAAAGGCTTTCCAACGAGGAGCTCCCGCCAGAAACAATGAGAACGGGGCAGGGCTCGCAGGTTAAGCCCAGAACCAGGACGAGAAAGAAGACATGTTAGCAAAGGAGAAGCAAACATATGTATAACAACGACGGCGAAAACGACACCCAGGACTAATGATTGACCCCTCTCTCGTTCCGCACGCAGGCAGAAATTGAAGGACCAAGGTGCATGGCGCGAAGCGCAAATGCAATCTGGTATGTACGTATACTGGCTACGTTCCGTTAGCGTGTACTATTTGCACACATACATGCATAGCTTCACATAAAGAAGCCTTTAACGACTTTCATAAGACCCCCAAGAGGCTCTCCAAGGAGGAGCCTCCGCAAAAACAACTGAGAGCGATGGGAAATAATTCGCAGGGTAGGGCGAGAATGAGGAAGAGGAGGTGGAGGAATCATGAAGAGTGACAACTAAGAACATTACTATAGCGACGATGTCGGACAAGGCAACTGACTTGTATGTTTTACCTTAATACCCTTCTGCTCGTGTGCCAAACTTCCAGGACCAAGGTGCACGGCGCGAAGCGTCAATACCATCTGTTGAATATGTATGCGCATCTATAAACTAGCCGGCGTGGAATTCCAACAGTGCTTTCACGCAAATTACGCGGTGCAATCAAGGTGGTGCAGACCATGTGGTGCAATCTACGTGGTGCAATCAACGCGGTGCAATCTAAGTGGTGCAACTAACGAAGTGGAATGAATTTATGTGGCGCAAACAGATGCAATGCATTACAAAACGATGGAATCAATGCCACGCAATGCAGAGCAATATAAACCTTTACCAAAACGATGCGAAACAATGCAACGCAACACAAAGCAATGCGGAACAAATGAAATGTAAAGCAATGCGCAATACATCAAATCAATGCAAAGCAAAACAACGCAACAGTACACAGCAACGCAATACAATGCGTCGCATTGCAACACAAAGAAATGCAACATGACGCAAAGCAGTGCAGAGTAATGCGAAGCGATGAAACGGAGTGCGAAGCAATGCCAAGCACTGCAGTGCAAAGCATCGTAACGTAACGCAAAGCAACGCAAAGGAATGCGAAGCAATGAAAACCAATGCGAAGCAATGCAAATCAGTACAAAGGAATGCGAAGCAACACAGCACATGCAAAAGCACTGCGAAATAATGCAAAGCGGCGACGAGGCGGCGACGGGGCGGCGACGGCGACCATAGCCGCCAGACTGGCAATCAGGCCCAGACGACGGGCGGCGACGGGGCGGCGATTGCGACCACATAGCCGCCAGACTGACAATCAGGCCCAGACGACGGGCGGCGACGAGGCGGCGACGGGGCGGCGACGTCGACAACATAGCCGCCAAAAGCCAGACCCACAATCAGGGCCAGCTGCTTCGAAGAGAAGATACAGCCCCTAAGTGCAATAACTATATATACACATCGGTAAATGTAAGCTAGAAGAGAAGATACATCCATAGGGAGTCCCGAAAAATTAATGGGGATCCGAGCCCACATCACTCAGGATTCCATCGACATTCCGAAGGATCCGAGCCCAGATCCCTAAAGATCCCCTCGGGATTCGTGAAGATCTGAAGCCAAATTCTGAGGGATGCCCTATGAAGATCCGGGCTCAGATCCCGAGGGATTTCCCCACGGGGTCCGAGGAACATATGAGCCTAGATCCCTCGGGATTCCTCGAAAACTGCCAAGGTCGGATCGGAGCCCAGATCCTCAGGGATTCCTGATGGATCCGCTTAGATCCCTAGGGACCACCATGTGGGTCAGAGCCCTGAACAGGACCGCGTTCGAAAATCACAAACCCCCGAACGGGTCGGCTCCCCTTTTGAGCGGCTAACGCTCAGATCCTGCCTTGGTCAAGCTTCCCGTTTGAGTGGATGAACGTCAAGATCCCATGGTTGGCCAGATCCCGTTCTTGGCCAGACCCCGCCTTCAATTAGATCCTGCTTTGGGCGTATCACCCGGAGCTATTGTTGGGGCAACGGCAGAGGCTGTGGCCCAGGCTGAAGCTCAGGCCAGGTGCGCAACAACAAGAACGGGGGAGGAAACAACGAAGCGAACAACAGAACGAACGCCCAGGAACAATGGCCAGGGCAAAGGGCGAGATGCTGGCTCAGGCTTGCGCGGAATCGCATGCAAACGAGGAACACGAACAACGAAAAGAACCGAACGGCTGGGACAACGGCAAAGGCTGTGGCCTAGGCTGAGGCTCAGGCCAGGAATGCAACAGAACGGCAGGAACAAAACAACGAAACAAAACACTGATCGAAATCACAGAAGCTATGGCTAAGGCGAGGAGCGAACGTGTGGGTGGGCTTTGAGCCACCGGAGAACGAACAACAACATCCAACCGAAAACCATAACGAAACATCAAGCAACAAATTGCATCCCTATCAAGCGCAACCAGAACATAGAAACACAACACTGCTGCGAAACAACACGGGCAAATCAACGAAACGCAGAGTGAACGGAACAAACAAAGCGAAGCACGACACGCAACCTCGGAACTGCAGCCAAATGAAACGCGCAACGAAACGCGCGCAACAAAAAAACGTTCAACGATGTTAAACCAGAAGCAAAATTAGCCTGGCAAGGGGCCCAACCATTAAGCACTTGTGGGTACAGTCGTTGCGAGCATCGCCGTCTGTGGATCTCCTTATAGGGCCACGAAGCGCGTGAAAGGTGTGCCGAAAATCGGCGGGCCGCCATGCTGGCGCTGCCACTGGGGCCTTAGGTGGAGCTCGCTATGGGGCCACTACACGTGTGAGGGGTTCGCGGCAAGGGAAGGTGGAACCGCATGCGGGCGCTGCCACTGGAACCTTCGGCTGTGAAACTTGCGACGGGTGCACCAGCATCGGGGTGGAACGGCATGCGGGCGCAGCCGCTGGGGCCGTCGGTAGAGCTATGGGGCCACGAAACGTGAGGAATTCGCCGAAATGGAGGGTGGAACCGCGTGCGGGCACTGCCACTGGGGCCTTCGGTGAAGTTCCCTATGGGGCCACGACGCGTATGAGGGGCTCGCAGACATGGGCGGGCGCTGTCTCTGGGGCATTTGGTGGAACTCCTTGTGGGGCCACGAAGCGTGTGAGGTGTGCACCAGAATGGGGGTGAAACCGCACGCGGGCGCTGCCACTGGAGCCTTAGGTGGAGCTCCCTACGGGGCCACGAAACGTGTGAGGGGTGCACTGAAATGGGGATGGAACTGCACGCGGGCGCTGCCATTGGAGCATTCGGTGGAGCTCCCCCTGTGGGGCCACGAAGCGTGCGTTGGGGTGCAAGGGATGGGAGGAGCGGGCGGAGGGAAGGAGGAGAGGAGGAGAGGAGAGGAGACGCGGGGCGCTTGTCTCTTCAAAACGAGGACCCAACACCACAGGATGGTCTGGGAAAAGCACAACGGACCAACGACTACAACGAATCGACCAACAAAATTAGGGCCAAACTACAAATAAACAACGTTGTGCTTGGTCCCTGTGTAGAGACTAACACACCTCAGAACTGACTCATCCAACTCCCAACCTACCCGGTGCCGAACTCACCCGGAGCATATATCGCCCAGCACCTAAGTCAACTCACCTGGTGCCACAATACTCAATGCTGAACTCTCCCGTGGCCGAACTCACGCGCCGCCCAACTCACCAGGCACCTAACTCACCCCGAGATTCCGCCACCCGGTAGTCCGTCCCCTTCGCCCTCCCCTCGTGATCAAGAACAGGCTCTCCGTCCTGGTCGTCCCCGGCGTCCCCCTCGTCGTCCTTCCCCTCGTCGTCGCCAGACCGCTCGAAACACTCGTCCTCGCCTCCCACAAACGAAAAAGGGAACAGAAGAAAAGGAGCATGGGTCCGGGGCGCTTTCCAAAACAGCGCCACAAAACGCCGCTGCTTTGGAAAGCATCTCGAACCCACGCTGAACAAGGACTAAAAAACTGACGCAAGGAAGAGGCGCGCTACAAACGCCGCTGATTCGGAGACGACCCCAGACGGCTCCAGCAGCAAGCAGAAAGAGGAAACGCCCAGACAGATACCAGCAGAAGACACGCTACAATCCGAAGCTGCTTTGCAGGACAGGGTAACCCACGGATCACCCTGTGACATGAGGAGGAAATTTCAAAACAGGTGCGTCTGCTCATGTCTCGTGCCCAGCACCCAAGAAGGATGAGGAAGAGCTTTGGCGTGTTATAACATGTGTTTTCCCTCGTGCCTCCTTGGAAACAAGACCGTGTACCCACAGGAGCACAAGCTTAGAAAAAACTCGTGGGGCTACAGCGGGCTCTGCGAGAGCACTCGCTGCTAAAGTCATGGGAAAACTAAGTAGGATGAAGACATCAGTGGAGTTGAGAAGCTCACGTCGAAAGCGCGCAGACCGTCGCCGACATCCTCTGGGAGAAATCGTCAGCTTCGGGATCAGACCACCTTGCCGTAGAACACGCCCTTCAGCAAGATCGTCTTCGGTGCCTTGGCACCCATATCTGTGTCGGACGGCTGCTTGGAGACGAAGACGCCACCAATCTCGCCAAGATCCTGGTTCACCTTGTTCACCTCCATCTCGATGGCGCCCTTGCCAACGTCGAACACCTTGTTGGTCTCCTTGAACAGCTCCTCCTGGCCCTCCTTGCCGTCGGCCTGCAGCGCTGGAAGGGCCACAGCCTGGTCGTAGCCGAGGTACATGCCGCGGCCCTTGGGGTCCAGGAAGCCGCCCGTGCGGTAGGACGGCACCATGAACTCACCGCCCCAGGTGTAGCCAGGCTTGAACGAGCTGCCCTCGCCCTTTGCGACCAGCGACTTGCAGGAGAACAGGAAGGGCACGTATTCGCCGTCCGGCAGCTTCACGGTCGTCGCCTGGAAGTCCATGCCGTCCTCCTCCTTGAAGGTGATGGGGTTGGGGCTCAGCGAGCCCTCGACGAACGCGATCGTGTACGTCTGCCTCGTCGTCAGCTTGGTGGTGACAAACTCCTTGCCCTTGTCCGTCTCGGCCTCGACGGCGAAGGACTTCGGCTCCAGGCAGAAGTTCTTCATCCTGCTGCCCTTCTCGACGCGGACCTCGGTGCCCACCTGGTCGACCGTGGGGCAGCGGTTCGCGAGGCCCGAGCCCCGGACCTGGGAGTAGGTGAGCTGGCTGAACTGCTCCGCGGTGATGGCCTTCGCCGGGGCGGCGGCGACCGACATCACGAGGCCGAGCGCCGCGCCGGCGCCCAGCAGCGGCGCGGCCCACGCCGCCCAAGATGCCGTTTCGGCCTCGGCGCCCAGGGGTTCCAGCACGGCCTCGGCGGGCACGGCGGCGCGTGGCTGCGGCACGGGTGCGCGCGCCCCCGGGCCGTGCACGTACGCCGAGGCGCGGCCCACGAGCATCATCACGGCGACAGGGCGGGCCATGGTGGACCGCGGAGCTGGGAGGCTGGGGCACACCGCTGGGCGGGTCTGCGCCGCCCAACTCGCTCTCGAGCCGAAACGGCTGCGGGGCAGGCCGAGCAAGAGGAAGCAGCAATTTGCACACCCCCAGCGGCAGGGGCAGACGGGCAAGAAGGGAGTGTGGGCCCGCCCAGTCGCCCCGTGGCAAGAAAACAACACATGCAGCCTCAACTGCTGGGTCTACTGATGCCTGCTGTTCCGCTGAAGCCTTGTGCGTCTGCGCAGCTCCAGACTGGCGCCGCCCAAATGGGGCTGGAGTAGATAGAGGCCTCCTAGATCTGGTCGGAGTAGATGGGGTTGGGGGATCGCGCCGCATGGCCGATACATCGGCGATGTATCGGCGATGCACCGGCGATGCAACGTCGATATCGGCGATGCATCGGCGACGTCAACGTGAAGCAGATCGGGCTCCGCATCGAGCCGCATCGCCGATGCACCGGCGATGCGGCGCGATCCTCCGACCCCACTTACTCGGACACCACCTTTAGGAGGCCTAGAGTAGATGGGGCAGAAGACGCCGAGCCAGAGGAAATCGGGCTCCGAACCCAGCCACGTCGCCGATGCGTCGCCAATGCGGCAAGATCCTCTGGCCCCATCTGCTGCGAAGGCGGCCCGGACCTCGGGCCCCCGAGGCCAGCTGCTCATCCTGAGCAATTTTCTGACGGCGCCTTGGGCCCCATGACCCAGGGAGGCCCAATCTGCGACCAGTTTGCCTCAGACTCAGGACCCGTTTGCTTCAGGGCGACTTCTGCACGCCCCCCAACTGCAACAAAGAACCAGGGCCTGATAGGGGGCACGTCGGAAGGGACGGGCTCAGGGGGGGAGGGAAACATCGAGCCGATTTCGGCGGTGCGTCGCCGATAACTCGGCGATGAGCCCCCAACAGCGAAACCGCACGCTCCTGGTCGGCGCTGGCGACCATCGCAGAAGGATCCACCGAACAAAACATGACGAGCAACCTCTGAGACCAATTCACCCCAACCCCCCGCACGGGGCAGGTCCACGTCGGACTTGCCATGCATGGCGCAGTAGCTTTTCTGCTGGTCTCTCTGGCGCGCCAGCGTTGCATCCTTTTCGCCACGGTTGGCGCGGCACTGTGGCCTCCCCGAAGAGATGGGGCATGGTTCTCCAAGTGCAAGGTGAACAAAAAGAACACGGATACATACAATCACGCAACAAAACCCGATGCCACACGGTGGGCAGGCACGCATCGGCAGAACGCACGAAACGCGACGCGCATGCAGCAGAACGCAACGCCGTGGGCACAGCGATGCAGCCCGCAGACAACGCCGCCACTTTCGGACCCAAGAAACAATTTGGCCCACGCTCGCACCAAAACCGCTTCTCGGACCGAACAACAAATCAATCGTCAAGACTCTCGCTGTGATCGCTGTACAGCGTAAACCCTTCCAAAACCCTCCCGAAACCTTCCGAAAAGCCTCCAAGAACCCTTCACGGAAGGTTTTCGGAGGGTTTTGGGAGGGTTCCGGCTGTTTTGATAACCCTAGAGGCCTCCCTAAAAGGCCCCTGCAGGGGCCCTATAGGCCCCCTTTTCTGCAGCTCTCGCTGCTCCCCCATGTAACTATTGCCCCTCGTCAATTCGCGCTCACAGGATTGAACACATCAATCCGCCAGGTGTCTGGGCAAGTATATCGGCCCCCTCCAATTCCCCCAGAGGTGGACTTCAACGTGGGTACGGCGACCCCAATCCCAGACTTTGGAAGGTTACTGGCCGGGGGATGCACCGAAGGGATGCGCCCAACCTCGCTGGGGGAGAGGGGCCCCCTTCCCATCACTGTGGAAGCAGGCGAATTTTTCCAGGGATGGCAGCTGTGGAAACCGAACCTCTCGGAATAACGGTAGGTTCGCGTCGTGCCGACTTCGGCGTTGGATTCTGACACCACGGGTATCGTTCAACTTGGAACGATCGGCCGTGTCCGAAACTTCAGATCTTGGGCGCCCGAGTTATCCAGGGTAACTCGGGTCCGGGGTAACTCGGGTTTGGATTCCCGAAAAAGGAACCCGAGCTAGCCCTGACCGAGTTACCCCTGATGATTCGGGGCTCTGGACGCCCGAATTATCCGGGGTAACTCGGGTCCGGGGTAACTCGGGTTTGGATTCCCGAAAAAGGAACCCGAGCTAGCCCTGACCCGAGTTACCCCTGATGATTCGGGGCTCTGGACGCCCGAATTATCCGGGGTAACTCGGGTCCGGGGTAACTCGTTTGTGGATTCCCGAAAAAGGAACCCGAGCTAGCCCTGACCCGAGAGTTACCCCTGATGATTCGGGGCTCTGGACGCCCGAATTACCCGGGGTAACTCGGGTCCGGGATAACTCGGGCTCGGGTTCCCGAAAAACGAACCCGAGTTTTAGCCCTGACCCGAGAGTTACCCCTGATGATTCGGGGCTCTGAGCATCGCTCCACTTGGAGCGATCGGCCGTGCCCGAACTTCAGATCGCTCCACGATCGACCGATGCTGCACGCCGCCGCCGGCGTGCAACGCTGCACGCCGGCGGCGGGGTCGCCGCTGGTCGACACGACGCGAAGCCACCGCAGCTTGAGTTTCTGGGCGCGGAAGTTGGGATTTTTTTGGGCGGCGGCGACCAGTGCAAACGGCAAAGGACGGGCCACAGAGGCAAGGACGCAAGGGCATCCTAGAGGAAGGCGCGCGTCCTTACTAGGCGCGTTGACTGTAAGCACCCGGCAGCGCGATCACAACCACGTGTGGTTCCACGCGTCCCTGCGCCCAGAAATGTACCATCGGGGGTCGGTGTGTTGCCGCCGAGGCGCCGAGAGGAAAGGCCGTGGCGGACGACCGCTGGCCCAACACGCCCCAGCAGCAATGCACGCCCGGAGTGAGACCTCGCACGAGCGGGCCCGCACGCGGGGACAGAGATGTAAGCAGCCCGGAACACTTGTGAAGGGACCCTGGGACACACACACAAATGAATACACACAAAGAAAATCATTCCCCATATTTTCGCATATGTTCTGGGTGTTCTTCTTCCCCCCCACTTCCCATATGTTCCCATATTTTCTGGGAAATCGACGATTCATTGTGTCTGTGTGTTTCTTTCCCTCCTGAACTTGGTCATGCACGAGAGGAGACAGTGGCGAGCGCGGGAGGACGCACCGCCCTCAGAAGGAACAGGAGGGGAGAGCACGCGCGCCGGTGCTTTCAGAGCATGGTGAGGTCGAGAGTAATCACCGACTCGAGTGAAGCTACTGGCCATGGATGTCTGCGGAGAGCCCCTCACGTCCGTCGACCAGTGAGCCGAATACTTCGGCTGATAGGACCGTGTTGTATCGGGAGTCGGTGAGTTGGTCGGCGCGGGAGTCGGTAAGCTGGCCTGCGCAGGAGTCGTTGAGCCAGTCGGTGCGGGAGTCGTTGAGCTGGTCGGCGTATAAGTCGGTGAGTTTCTGGGCGCGGAAGTCGGTGCGCTGGTCGGTGCGGGAGCCGCCAAGCTGGTTGGTGTGAGAATTGTGGAAACCGATCGATGTTTACCCCTATCCGCGGCTTCGTTCTGGGCCGAGGTGGAGTGCCACGGCATCGATGCACGGTGCACCCCGCCACAGTTCCTCGAAAGGGAGTCGGTGAGCGGGCCGGTGCGGAGGTCGGCGAGCCCCTCGGTGTGGGAGTCAGCGGGCTGGTCGGTGCGGCACTCGGCGAGCATGGCGGCGAGGGAGTCGACGAGCCGGTCGGCGCGAGGCTCGGTGAGCTTGTCGACGCGGGAGTGGTCGGGAGCGGCCAAGAGGGGGGTGTCCAAGAGGGGTGTGTGCAAATCATGACCGGCGGCATGTGCGCGGCCCAGCGGGGGGGGTCAGGGACGTAATGGAATAAGAAGAGGCGCGATGAAATCTGGGGAGATATCATGGCCCCCGCTATGATATCCACCCCCCCTAGTCATCACCCCCTTCTTTTCCGCCCCCGAGCACTGACCCGGATCAGTGCAAGCCCGGGTCAGGCAGGCTTTTGCAGGATCCTGCGAAATCCTCCAGGCCAAGCCGAGGCGCCGAAGCCGAGGGGCTGTCCGAAGTGAGCTGGCGCCGCCCCAAACCAAGCGTCCGGGAGTAATTGTGCCGAGTTGTGGGCGGATCATGGCTATGAGTAATAGCAGCGTCGCAACTGGGCGCAAGCCAGTGCTACCACTTCGCGTTCGGCGACCGGGGGGCCCCTTTGGGCCCGCATCACAGGTCACTGCGGCGAACGGTCACTCTTACGTCGAAGTCGACAAGCGCGTTCCACTGCTCGCAGAGCAGCTGCTGGCGAATGGCCCGAGTCAGCCGCGGGGGATTTTCCGCCCCGCTGCACAGAGGAAGACATGTCCTTCCAGACGCTTGCGAGTAGGTACCTTGCGAGTAGTGGAACGCGCTCGGTGAATCTAGTCGACCTCCAATCCTCACAGCATCACACGAAGGTCGGAAGAAGCACATAGAAACATGAAGTAGGAAGACGGATGAAGAAGATTGGGCTCGGGCCCGCCCAAAGAATAACAAACAACAGCCAAATCATATCGATGATTGAAGTAGGAAGGCGCTTGAAGTAAATTGGGTTCTGGGGATCCTAAAATCCGCCGACCCTGTCGGCGTGTAGAATGGGCTGTTATTCTCGTCCGTGCCTCCTTCTCAGTCTCCTTCTCGTTCGTCTCCCCCTCCTCCTCCTCCTCCTCCTCCTCCTCCTGTATCTCTTCCTCCTGCGTAGAAAGTCAATTGACTCGAAGGGTTTCCCCTTCACTTTGTTCCCTTCCCCGGCCGGGGGGGGGGGTCCCGGGGGAAACCCGGGGGGAGTCCTGGGGAGGTCCCAGGGGGCGGCCGGTTGTTACTGTGGCCCGTTGGGTGTTGGTATGGCCAGGTGGGTATTAGTGTGGCCCGTCGCGCGACTGGATGGGAGTTACTGTGGCCCGCGCTGGCCGTTCAATGCCAAGTAAAATGTACAGGTATCCCATCTTAGATGTGAAGAGATTCGCAACCCTTAAGGGAATGCATCCCCGCGCAGGCAAAAATGGCCACAGTAACTCCCACCTGGAACCAACGAAGTAGTAGTAGTAGTAGTAGTAGTAGTAGTAGTAGTAGTAGTAGTCGTAGTAGTAGTAGTAGTAGTAGTAGTAGTAGTAGTAGTAGTAG